TTTTTTTTTAAACATATATAGTTTAAAAAATATTATTTTTATTGATTTCAGAGAGAGGAAGGGAGAGGGAGAGAGAGATAGAAACATCAATGATGAGAGGTCAGCTGCCTCCTGCACACCCCCAACTTGGGTTGAAGCCCACAATCCCAGCATGTGCCCTGACCGGTAATTGAACCTCGATCTCCTGGATCATAGGTTGATGCTCAACCGCTGAGCCACGCCAGCTGAGCTGGAAACTATTTTTAATGGCTATAGTAGAGGCTAAATAAAAATTGTCTGTTTTGATATTTTACTTTTAAATTGCATGAGGACTCAATGAAGGCTATTCATGTACTTGAACTTTCCAAAGACTTTTCACAATTTGTGGGGATCTCATAACAATCCAAGATGACTTGCAGGGCAGGTAGCTGTCAACACTCTCCTTTTACAGAGGTGGAAATAGGCCTATACTTACATTCTCATTCCTTTACAGGGATGGTGCACAGGGAGATTCTTCCAGAGGCTAGTATTGTTACCATTGCACAGTAAAGTCGCTAAAGCTGTCTTGGTTCATATCTCTACTCTGAAGCTCTAGGAATCATTTCCACTACTATCAAATGGAAACAAAGCTAGTACTTCATAGTATTTTCGTTAGAATTAAATTAGTGTGGAACTCAATAAATATGAGTTGTTATTACAGTGTCATGGAGACCTGTAAAGGGTTCTACAAAAGACCACTGTTGGTGAGAAACTGCCTCAGCAAATCTTCTTCTCATGGCATTCCCAGCTTCCCAAGGGCCCGCAGCGGCCTCCACTCCTTCCACTCAGGGACTTTCAGAACCGCTGTCCCTTGCCTCTGTCTCCTGGAGGCCTACTCCTGGGCGGGTCAGAATCTCTCCAGCCCTGTCCCCAGAGAGGGGGCGTGGTCTCATAAGGGCGGGGGCGTGACCAAACAGAGAATTGGGGCGTGGACCTTCCCTTCCCAATCTGGAGCCACCCAATCCGGGAGTACAGGTCACGTGACCAGAGAGCGGTTTCACCCTCCCCCTATGCCGATACCACCTCTTTGAGCCTCAGGGGGGATGTCTTACTCCTTTTCGAGAAGTAAAGCATTAATTTTGGTCCGTTTGCGTCGAAATAATGTGGAGTACTATCTTTGTTTTGACAGAGTCAATCTTTGCCCCTTAAGTAGTATTTTCCGTTCCGGCCTCCCCCCACTAAGTGTTGGTCTCGCCCAGCCGGGCCCTGGGCGCGGCGGCGACGGCCGCGTCACTGGCGGGCGGGATCCCTCCGCTCTGGGGAGAACAGCTCTGGACGGTTGAGTTGGGGTGATTGAGGAAATCCATCCGCGCGCCGCCTCTGCCGCCTCCGCCGCGGAGGAAGACAGGACCTCCCGCGCTTCTCTAGCGACCCTGGGCAGAGTCCCACCGCCACAGGTACTTACGCTGACAAAAGGAGTCCTCATCCCCCCCCCAGCCCCAAATTCCCATGAGGGGTGGTGGGGGACCTTTCATCCTTCCGTCTCCCGGATCTGGCCTCTTGGGAGCGGACGTAACTCCCCAGACCTCCCCTCCCTTCCTCTGGCCCTGGTCGCTCCTAAACCCGGAAGGGAAACTGGGGGACCCTCGCTCCCAATAATGCACGCCCTCCCTGCACCATTAGGCTCATTTTGCCTGACCCCAGATCCCATCCGGGCCCCGCTTGTCTCTTGCTCCCTGAGAAGTTGGGGGCAAATTTGGAGCTTCCTCTAGGCCCCGTTCCGCCCCCTTCCCCCACCCATATCCCCGTTTGCCCCTGGATAGCACCCCTCTTACCCTCACATTTCGCACCCCTGGCAGCATTCATCTTGCAAAACTCCAGAATTCTCAGAGAGGCAGGCAAGGCCGCGAGGCCACCCTCCCTTCGCTACTATCCTATCCTCGATTTGGGTTCTGCCTGTGTTTTCTGGCCCATTACCCTGGAAGGGAGTCCTCGGTACACCTTTCCCTTTTCTAGTCCTAACCCCAAGCCTAGCTCCCGGGAGCCCCCTCCCCGTGCCCAGCTTTCTTTTGGGCAAAATGGAGGTCGTGGGGGCCGGAGGGCCAGGCCCACAGCGCTTCGCAGCGCGGCACCGGCCCGTGCCTTTTAGCTGCCAGATACGAGACCCTCCTTTGCCCCTTCCCCTTCGCCTTGCCAGACTTGCGGAGGCGTCGGCACCGCCATTTCTCCTTGGGACCCCAGCTGCTGTGTGCCCAGATTCGGGGGCCACTGAGGGGGCCCTAGAGGTTGATGGGACTGAGATCTAGGAGCGTCGCCCCCGCCCCCAGCGGCTTCCTCCTGGTTGGCTTCCTTCTGCCCCGGGCCTCTGGCGTTGCCATCCCGCCAGGGCTGCTGGCAGCTAGAAGGAAGGGGCTTTTTTCTGGAGCTGGGGAGGTGGAGTGGGCGCGGGGGGCCTTTGCTTCCTCCCCTCTTTTTCTGAGGGGCATCCCCTGGCGCTGGCGTAGAAAGCTGAACTGAGACAGGGGAAATGTCAGTGGGGAAGAGGAACGCCCAGGCCTGGGGGAAGTGGAAGCAGGGTGGGGGACGCCCGAATCGTCCGAGTGCAGTGTGCGTGGCCAGATCACACAGGTGTCCAAAGTGGGGACAGGACTCCCGGTCCTGGAGCGGAGCCAGCCAGGCCCCTGGGGCCCCAACGACGAGCCTGCGGGCTGGGGGATCCTGGGGTGTGTAGGGCGCAGGGCAGGGCCGCCTGGGGCCGTCGCTCGCCAGCCAGCCAGCGGCGGGGAGAGGAGCAGCTCCGCGCCTCAGGGCGGGGGACCTCTCTTCGGAGCCCTAATTACTTGTGAGCGGCTCCCACGGGCTTTCCGCCGCGCGCCAGGGCGGGCGGCCTAGGCTCTGGAGGGAGCGGCGGCTTGAGGCTGCCCTCCCCGCCACCCTCGCCTCCACCTGCTGCGGGCGGCTAATGGGGCGCAGCCGGCCCAGGGATTATCCGGGTGAGCCGTCCCGAACCTATTAGTGCCCAATCGGCTTTTCCCAAATCCGGTAAACAGCCACTCTTGCCGGTTCTGGGGAGGAGCGGGAGACTGGTCTGGCGGGGGCGGTGGG